GGTCCCCTGAAAATTGTTTAAATAAAAGTTGTTTGCGATATCGATCTCTATAATTTTTGTTTATACATCATTTTTCTAAAATGGACCGTAATGGAAAAATTGTAGGAAAAGTGCTAAATTTAAATTTTTCAGTATTTTCATTTTCAATGAATATCTATAGAAAAATGTTTCGAGGTAGATGTATGTGGATAATGTATATATTTATTTTATCCTCTAAACATTTATGGAGGTGCTGCAATAGGTTGTACAAAATAACCGGAAAAAGCCTGTAATAACTAGATAGGAAAGTCATGTGTTGGACACATCAGATTTTTAACATTGTTATGTCATATTACTTTTGTTTCATTGTGTAACGAAAAAAATATGAATAATATTCACAAACTATTTCTGTATGATATTTTTAAATACTAACAAGTTTATGAGTCTTTTTTCATTTACAATACAAAACTAAACTTTATCAACACTGTTGATTAAAATATGAGATACATTACCTAATTTGATATATCTGATAGCACAAAGTAATCATTTCCGTATCAGATCCTTCAAGACCGTAGCCAGGGGGGATCAAGGGGAATTGATCCCCCCCTCCCCCGAAATAAAAAAAAGATATTTATTTTAGACTTTTAATAAGTTTGTCCACGACCACTTAATAATAAATCAATATTCTACCTCCTAACTAAAAGCATATGGTACCCATATATCACTAAGTGAATTATGATAATTCACGCTTTTGTAATTCTGGCACATTCCGATAAATAACTAAAGATGGGCGATACTTTTCATAACGATATTTTCTAGATCGAAAAATCAAAAAATGGAAAAATGGAAAAATGAAAAAATGGAAAAATGGAAAAATGGAAAAATGGAAAAATGGAAAAATGGAAAAATGGAAAAATGGAAAAATGGAAAAATGGAAAAATGGAAAAATGGAAAAATGGAAAAATGGAAAAATGGAAAAATGGAAAAATGGAAAAATGGAAAAATGGAAAAATGGAAAAATGGAAAAATGGAAAAATGGAAAAATGGAAAAATGGAAAAATGGAAAAATGGAAAAATGGAAAAATGGAAAAATGGAAAAATGGAAAAATGGAAAAATGGAAAAATGGAAAAATGGAAAAATGGAAAAATGGAAAAATGGAAAAATGGAAAAATGGAAAAATGGAAAAATGGAAAAATGGAAAAATGGAAAAATGGAAAAATGGAAAAATGGAAAAATGGAAAAATGGAAAAATGGAAAATGGAAAAATGGAAAAATGGAAAAATGGAAAAATGGAAAAATGGAAAAATGGAAAAAATGGAAAAATGGAAAAATGGAAAAATGGAAAAATGGAAAAATGGAAAAATGGAAAAATGGAAAAATGGAAAAATGGAAAAATGGAAAAATGGAAAAATGGAAAAATGGAAAAATGGAAAAATGGAAAAATGGAAAAATGGAAAAATGGAAAAATGGAAAAATGGAAAAATGGAAAAATGGAAAAATGGAAAAATGGAAAAATGGAAAAATGGAAAAATGGAAAAATGGAAAAATGGAAAAATGGAAAAATGGAAAAATGGAAAAATGGAAAAATGGAAAAATGGAAAAATGGAAAAATGGAAAAATGGAAAAATGGAAAAATGGAAAAATGGAAAAATGGAAAAATGGAAAAATGGAAAAATGGAAAAATGGAAAAATGGAAAAATGGAAAAATGGAAAAATGGAAAAATGGAAAAATGGAAAAATGGAAAAATGGAAAAATGGAAAAATGGAAAAATGGAAAAATGGAAAAATGGAAAAATGGAAAAATGGAAAAATGGAAAAATGGAAAAATGGAAAAATGGAAAAATGGAAAAATGGAAAAATGGAAAAATGGAAAAATGGAAAAATGGAAAAATGGAAAAATGGAAAAATGGAAAAATGGAAAAATGGAAAAATGGAAAAATGGAAAAATGGAAAAATGGAAAAATGGAAAAATGGAAAAATGGAAAAATGGAAAAATGGAAAAATGGAAAAATGGAAAAATGGAAAAATGGAAAAATGGAAAAATGGAAAAATGGAAAAATGGAAAAATGGAAAAATGGAAAAATGGAAAAATGGAAAAATGGAAAAATGGAAAAATGGAAAAATGGAAAAATGGAAAAATGGAAAAATGGAAAAATGGAAAAATGGAAAAATGGAAAAATGGAAAAATGGAAAAATGGAAAAATGGAAAAATGGAAAAATGGAAAAATGGAAAAATGGAAAAATGGAAAAATGGAAAAATGGAAAAATGGAAAAATGGAAAAATGGAAAAATGGAAAAATGGAAAAATGGAAAAATGGAAAAATGGAAAAATGGAAAAATGGAAAAATGGAAAAATGGAAAAATGGAAAAATGGAAAAATGGAAAAATGGAAAAATGGAAAAATGGAAAAATGGAAAAATGGAAAAATGGAAAAATGGAAAAATGGAAAAATGGAAAAATGGAAAAATGGAAAAATGGAAAAATGGAAAAATGGAAAAATGGAAAAATGGAAAAAAATGGAAAAATGGAAAAATGGAAAAATGGAAAAATGGAAAAATGGAAAAATGGAAAAATGGAAAAATGGAAAAATGGAAAAAATGGAAAAATGGAAAAATGGAAAAATGGAAAAATGGAAAAATGGAAAAAAAAATGGAAAAATGGAAAAATGGAAAAATGGAAAAATGGAAAAATGGAAAAATGGAAAAATGGAAAAATGGAAAAATGGAAAAATGGAAAAATGGAAAAATGGAAAAATAGAAAAATCAAAAAATTGAAAAGTCGAAAAAACAACAGTTAGTTACCTTTGTTTAATCAAAACTTTCCATTCTACACTTTACTTTTATTTAATAAAGAAACCATAATGGTCGTGGACAAAGTATAGTATTAGACTCGCAATTTATGGCGTGAATAATGGCTACCATAAATTGCTCGTTTAATAATATACTATTTAATGAGACTGCTATAATATACAGTGCGCTCGTCTCACTTAGTTGTTATACACAACATAATAATTAATCACTACAAACAAAATTATTTACCTACTGTTATTTTTATTATGTATGACTTTATGCTCTCTTGGTATTCGCACGACGATACTTAAATAGCGGCGCAGCGACATCAATTAGGGAGCGGTGAATTTACGTGCAACGCCAACTACACAAGCAACGCAACTTCGGGGACGTGCTCTAACTGCATTTCGGGAATATTCAATAAGCATAGAATGAGACAGGTTAATTTCGATGTTTCGTTGCGGCGCGTCAGCGGAATATATAAGCGAGCCGTCGAGCACAGAGAGGCAGTTTTGTCGTGGAAAGTGATCCAATGCGATGCGACTAAGGCGATATAAGCGAAGTAATAGTGCAGTGTGTGAAATAATTGTACTGTGAATTAGTATTGAAGTAAGTGATGTTATAATTTGTGTAATTTAAATTCAAATTAAAAGGATTGCCTAAGAGTAGACTACCTACTTTTATTAATTTTGTTTTAAATCTTTATTGAAGTAAACAAACGGAATTAATACTTGGCTGTTTTTTTTAATTGTTACAGGTCGGTTCAACATTTGAAATGACAAAAAGGACGCAAGAAAATACATTATTCAAATATTTATTTAAAAAATCTAAACCTGGTACTGGTAGTGAATGTTCTACTGAAAATTCCACACCTGTAATTTTGAACCAATCAAAATACGTGTTTTTGACAGATCACCATGGCAACGGAGGTATTTTAGTGGACATTTTTTTCTCGTGGGGTACCCAACAGCGAATTATACTGGAAATTTTTTGACGTTTACAATAACAGACCATTTTTGACAGACTGGTTTTTATTTGTTCACATAATAGGTTTAGTTTTGATACATTTTAGTTACAATGCTAAGGTGTTTTCTATATTCTTCGGCCATTTCTTTTCTTCTTAATGGTGAAAATGCAGGACTTTGGATGCTTTGAATTATGTGTCTGTGTCTAATAAAATATATATAATATTTAGACACTAATTTATTCACCTTTTTCCCATTCAGCACTTTGAATTTTGCGTAGTTTAGGTGCAAATATTCGTGGACAATTCGGAACAAATTTTCGTTTTTCAACTTGGAGCCACAATCCTCTATTAATCCGAGTAAGTAAGTCATGGTGCAATGATTGATCATTACAAAAGACAATTTCACGCATATTTTGCATAGTGTATGATTTTCAAATCGATTCATTTTTAAACAAATAGGTAATTTTGTTGGTTTTACTTGCTGTGCAATATTCTTTATCGCAACAAAACGCGAGTTATTTAATGTTTTGAACTGTCAAAATACAATGATCACAGCCTCCTACGATTGATGCTTGCTGACGCTGGTTATGAATTTCATACCATTTTAAAGCGCTCATAACGCATGTTGATAAAAACGCAGAAAAACAATTTTCTACCACTTGTAGTTATTTAAAACTTACGTAAAATTAAAGAATATACTATTTTCTATTTTCAAATGGTATTCCCATGCAACTACAATGAGTAGAAATAAGCAATTTGAAGGCCTAAATAATTGCAGCGAAACATTTTTTTACGTCGGGCCGCTTGACAACTTCAAAACTGAAATTATATTCGAGGTTAGGGTATCACTTAGTTACCATGACAACTCAACAATCAAGGCGACAACACCTTTTATGTTTCACTGGTGACTTGGAGAAAATAATTTGCATTGTTGAGAAACGAAAAATAAATTTTAAAAATATTTAATTTTCAACCATAATTCGGCGTGAAATTTTCTTACCGAATACCACGCGAGGTCAAATTAATATCAGGAAATTTTTTCTCGCTCATGAATATTTTTAGAAAATTTCCCTCGTCTGCGACTCGGGAAATTTTCAAAATATTCATGAGCTCGAAAAAATTTCCGGAAATAATTTGACTTCTAGTGGTATTACTAGTGAAAATCAGTGTCCAAGTGTTTTCGAAAGTGATACTGCTACAAGTAGTTCTGGTACTTCTGCTGCCGTTCCTGGGACTGTGGATGATGTTTCTCAGCATGTTTTAGATGTGGGCTATTATACGGGATCAAACACCAAAATTGATGATGATTTAAAGTACAGATTGTTAATCTCCTTGGATGCCAGAAAAGAAGTTTCCCGTAAGTGACGATAAAAGAAAGCTAAAATTTCAAATGCAATGGTTTGAACGGTTCTTGTGGTTGATTTACACGAGTACAGGGCAACAAGGTGCTTTATGCAAATATTATGTATTATTTGCCAGAGATTGCGCAGGAAAGGCTCTCATCAGTTGAAATCTTTAGTTACTCAGCCGCTTATTAAATGGAAAGATGCTGTACATGATTTCAAACATCACAGTGAAAGCCAGTACTACAAATCTTCTGTATTATTGGCTGATAATTTTATGAAGGTGTTTAATATGACGTTGAACGCTACCCACCTAAGCCCGACCATACAAAATGAACTTATTGCAATTTGTGATGAAATATTTCAGAAAAAAATTGTGCAAGGATTACATTCTGCGAATTTTTTTTTCAATCCTTGTTGACCAAACTACTGATGTTTTACGACAAGAACATTTGTCCATTTGAAGATCTGTTGAGCCAAAAGATAATGGGTTTTCCTTGCGTGAAGATTTTTTGTTGAGAATACAAAAGGAAGATATTTAGCTAATGCAATTTTATCTAAATTAAAATCGACGAAAATAAATTAAAACTCAAATGTGGATAGACGTAAATGAAATAAAATGAATTTAGCTTAAAGCCAATATTACATGAAATACAACGACCGTCTCTCCTTCAAAAAACAACTACTCCTTTGGCTAATACCGCAACAGGCATTGAATTACTTCCGAAGGAAAGACAGCAGAGATAGAAATTAATTTTCAACACTCTCTATTTTGATTTTACTCACCAAGGAGAACATCATTCTTGGACCGGTTTCGTCCTTATTAGGACTCCTCAGCAAGAAATAGATAGGTTCTCAATTCCAGTCTCTAATGGAATATTTGTTAATTCCATTTCTCTGCTGTCTTTCCTTCGGATGTAATTCAATGCCTGTTGTAGTATTAGCCAAAGGAGTAGTTGTTTTTTGAAGGGGAGACGGTCGTTGTATTTCGTGTAATATTTGCTTTGAGCTAAATTCATTTTATTTAAATTAAAATCTTTGGGAGTAGACTGCGAATATTTAGTCGGACAAGGATATGATGGAGCTTCTTTGATGAAATGAAGTTTCAAAGGTGTACAGGCAGAAACATCCAGAAGCCTTATACGTTCATTGCAGCTCACATTCATTAAATTTAGCTCTGGGCCATTCTTGCCAGGTTCAGCCTATTCGAAATACTATTGGAATTATAAAATCGGTTGAAAATTTTATCAAGTCCTCGACAAAACGAACAAAGTGTTTAAAAGATAATATCGAAAAAAACTTCCCTAAAACGTTATGGAAAAACCTTACGGCAATGTGCGAGACCCTGTGTAGAAAATCATGATGGGTTAAGATTTAAAAAAATTTATAAAGCTATTGTTGATTCACTAGACGACTTAAGCACTGGCATGGATTCTGAAACATCGTCAAAGGCTAATTCTTTTCTGAGATCAGTCATTTCAAGTGATTTTGTTATGAGCTTATGTTGCTTAGGAATGTTGTTCCCGTACACACTAACACTATGCAAAATACTTCAGTCGCCCCTATGCGATTTGGCAGCAGCTTAACAACATGTCAATTTAATTATAAAGACTATTGAAGATATTGATTTAAAATTTGCTGAACTTTTCAAGAATGCACAGAATTTGCTCAGTACTGTAAACGAGAAAATGACAATTTCGTAAATAATGTCACACCAAGAGCATAGGGCAAACTACAACACAAAATATCCTGAAACTTATTTTAGAATTACTATAATGATTCCACTTTCGAAAGATTTCATTGATCAGCTTTAGTCGAGATTCCAAAATCATAAAGCCACATTATCATCTCTCAACATTTTAATTCCGTCTGTGTGTTGCAAAGAATAAATTAATCAAAATTATCAAGAAAACTACTTTCAGCTCTATAAAAAATATTTGGAATGGGACTTTGTAAAAGCTGAATTATACATGTGGCGGATAAAATGGATGAAAGAATCTGAACCAGGCCTTATTTCCAAACATTCACAAACTTTTAAAGATCTTGCCGACACTGCCTGTTTCTACATGTACTCCTGAGAGGACTTTCTCTTCTATGAAACTCAAAACTATAGGCCAGGAAACACTAAACGGTTTGGCGCTAATGTCAATCCACCGTAGAATTGACATCGACACCGAGGAGGTAATTGATTTGTTATCTGCAAAGAAAGCTAGAAGACTAAATTTAATTTTGTAATAAGGTGTTAATATTTCTGTAATAGTTTTCTAAAAAATATATATGATAAGTAACACCATTTTCTTTCTTTTATTAAAACGATTTTGTTTTTCTACTGCTCCACCAAATCAAACCCCCTTACGGCCTTGAGATCCTTATCTGATAACACAAAGTAGTCATTCGTTAATTATTTTACTAAAATCATGTGGGTAGTAGGTAGTAGCATGTAGTAGAACAAGTAGATGTAATGTTCAATTCGCAAGGAATGCTCATTTCAGACTGCCATATATTCGCTCTCTAAACAAAAGATAAATTTTATTTTACTTGATAGCCTTACAAGAAACATAAGTTACATTTTTAAATAATTATTTTAAAGTTTCCAATAATTAATAAGTTATTCAAAAAATGTAGTTTTCATAGTACTAAAATTAATATTAACCATATAGAATTCCAACAACAAGTATAGGACACATAAAAAGAATTAATAAAACATATCGAATAAATTGATTTTCAAAAATTAAACCTATAATTAAAAGATAGGTAGAAATATAAAGATTATTTAGATTTTTCCAATGAAATTAGAAAACTTCACCGAAATGTTATTTCAACTCAACAATTGATTTAGGAAAGAAAGCAGAGAATTAATTCAAACACTACTTCACGAGGTTTTCCACCTCTAGCTCTCATTTAAAAACACATTTTTAAAAAAATGATTCTTAAAATGTTACAAGTTACCATTGAAACAATAATTTATATTGCTCTGTTAAACGTTTTCTATATATCTCAAAAGAACGATTGCAAAATACTTTTACGATTTCTAATTTTTTTTTTGTTTTCAGTTTACTTTTCAATAATACGACTGGATCTAATTTTTTTCTACTGTAAAATAGTAGTCCATTATGCACATGCAGATCAAATTTAAAAACAAGCATTTTTTCGGTCGTTGTTGGAACAAACCTAAATAACCTCAAATAACTTGTACATATTTTTTTTTATTACTTTATGTTCGCGGGTGATAAAAACTCAACTTTATTTTATCTAAATACCTTATAAAATCTGTTGGTAAAAACCGGATATTATTTTAAAATTTTCCGTGGATAAAAGAGGTTAATTTGCCCATTCCTCCGCGGACACTTTGCTTGGCGTGTGCCTGTAATGTCGGAGTTTCGAGGAATAAAAAATATCCCGCGCAATTAGATTTGATCCCTTTTTCTTAAATATTTTCTGCAACGCCGCTGTTCGGAATACTAACAATGCTCTTTATTTTGGGTTTTCGTTCGTTTAATTTTTAAGTATGGTTTTAAATAAGGCCAACAAGCAAAAAGGATTTCGACATAAAGCTTCGAGCTGTGCCGGCAAAGCCCACTCATTTAAATGATTTGATTATGAAAATAAAGTTGAAAATGAATGTACCCAGAGTTTTTTTGTGTTTGTTTTAGGGAACAATATTTTTGGGGATCAGTTAAGTTAATCAGTCAGTAGTTGAAACTGGTGAACGTCCAATTGATAATTATTAATTGATAAAGGGTGTTCCAGCGAGAGTTTCGGAATGTTGATAATAAATAAAAGACGTTTTAGAAGAAAAATTATGTTTCATTGTTACTAAGTTACTAATAATATGATTTCTTACGATGAACTATAACAGTCCATTTTAAACTTTGTCACTTATAAAGTACTTTAGCAAACTTTTGCCGTTCAGATATCAGTGAAGGCAGAAGAAATAACCTATGTCCCGTGACATGTACCAATAAATTTAGAAAATTTGAATTTTGTTGTTAAATGTTTAATTCTATTTTCCTATCAGTTCCATCTCTGTGTGTATTATAGGAAGCGCGAAATAGAAAAATAATTAGGTGTCTGCTCTTTTTTTAACAATTCTGGACAATGATTAACTGGTGTTGCAACAAAATAAAAAGGGGTAGCGTCAATTAAAATATACTAATAATGTATTAAAATTTTTGTAATTGTCAATGTGTATTTTAAATAAATAATAAAAATTCCAAGTTTCTTTTTTAGTTCGACAGGCAGTAAAATTGGTTACAAACCTAAACCTCTTAATTGCATTTAATAAAAATTAAAAGAAACATCTTTATATTTCCTAATAAACCAAATGTCAGAAACTTCATATATATGTCAATTTCAAACTAAACTTAATTCATACAATTCTGAATTATATTTCTAGTTCTGAATGGGTCCGAGATATGTTGATTTAGTGCTAAAACCAATCGTTATGCTTTGGAGAGTTGCAATTGAGGATAAAATTATCTACATGCACGATAATGCACCTCCCCGTATCAGCAGAGTGGCTAGAGAATGTCTTGAAACGGAAGGTGTCACAGTTTTAGACTGGTATGCATGTTCCCAGAGCTAAATCCTAACGAACACTTGTGGGACCAGCTGAAATGAAGGGATACAGCTAGAGGTAGATGCCGTTTTTTTCAAAAGAATTGATTATTTATATCGATCCAAAATAATTGTTAAAAAATCGATTCAGTGAAAAATCGAAATAAAAAAATCGATTCTTTAAATAATCGGTTTAAAAAATGCAAAAACTTGTTTTAGATAAAAAACAAAAAAATTTAAATAAGTACCAAAAATTTTTTTAAATTTATTTATTCCAAATTAAAAATGGCATAGTTTATAGGTAAAAGTTATTTCAAGATTAGGTATTAAAGAAAATAAAAAATTGAGTTGTTGAATCTTATGACCCGCACGTTAAAACCAGATTTATCAAATTTTATTCATATTAAAAGTGCCAATCTTTCTCTGATAAAGTATTGAGGTAAACTAATTTGGATAGTTTACTTCCTAACAGTCTGTTGCGATGGGGTTTCATAATGACTCTCGCCTTTGAGAACATACGTTCAGCTGGAACAGAGGTTGCTACAATGCTCAAATGTTCAAATGCAATGCATGAAAGCATTGGATAAATGAACTTATGTTTGTTCCAGAAGTCAATTGGGTCTTCTTTTATATCAATTACTTTTTGCGTTAAATAATGTTTCAGTTCATTGTTTTCTGTTTCTTGTGTAACTGTAGAGGTTTGTACTAATCGCTTATGGTAACTCCAAATTGACGACTGATCAGCAGTACATAAATCTATATTTTCATAAACTTTATTTTCGGGTTCTTGTGTTTCATGGCTTATGTTAGTCTCCAACAACCGTTTCATTTTTGAAATTGCATTACTTACTGAAACAAAATTTGTTAATTTTTAACATACTCAAGAAACACAATTACCTTGTATCTAAAAGTGTGGCAATTGCTAATAAATGTACCTCGTCCATTTTGCCAAATCGTTTTTGCAGTTGCTCTAGCAGGGCAGCTTGTAGTTTTTTGGCACTTTCTGTTTGAAAATCCAAATCTAGAATATGTTGTTGTAATATACTAACTACTGGTATCACTTTACTAGCAGTGGCATATTTGTCACCACACATTTTTTTGGATACCACCTCCAGAGGTTGTAGTAATTTAACTACTTCCTCGATTTCATTAAATTCAAAACCTGTAAGCATTCTAGGAGCTTTAGGAAACCTGCAAAATATTAATTGTAGCATGTACAATTTCAAATAGTAAACAACTTACTTCAACAGAACGTTACTGACCTCAGCACGAATTTTTAAGAAACGTTCCAACATGAAAAATGTTGAGTTCCATCTGATTGAAACTGACTGTATCAACTTTAGATGGGTCAACTTTCTCAGCTCATCAGCAGCAGCAACTGAATGTTTGGAGTAACTTAAAATAGTTTTTACAGCTGATATTAAAGGTGCAATATTGGGTTCTTCGCATATCTTTTCTGCCACTAGGTTAACGGATGGGAAAAATATGGCAACTGTTTATTTTTTTCCTACAGTTACCCGCCTGCCTTTACTATATTTGCTCCGTTGTCAGTGATTATGGCAGTAATTTTGGAGATTTTAATGTTGCATTCGTTGAAAACATTTACCAATTTCTCTTTCAGAAATTCTGCTGTATGCCTTTCATCCAACTCTTCTAAGCATAAGGCAATGTTAGTAAATTTACCATTCCTTATAAAATGAACAGTTGCACCCAAAAAACTTATTGTGTTGAGTGTGTCAGTCCAGACATCTGCAGTAACAGACAAATGTTTCACAAGAGACAAGTCGTTTTTCATAAGATTCCTTAATAAATCATATTTATTATCCAATAAATGTGTAATTGTTGTTCGCCCTGGAATTTTATAATGTAGCACAGCCCTTTTCATAAAATGTACAAAGCCGGACGTTTCTGTGGTGTTTAAAGGCAAGTTATCTTTTACAATCATGTATAAAATTTTATTTGTTATTAAAATTGATTTCATACCATCTATAAAAGATTTTAATTAAATGAGCAAGATTTAGAAAAATAAAAATAAGTAGTAGTCACCTTTAAATGATCCTATTTCAGCAAATGTATCATCAATCCTCTTTTGAGTAAAAGTAGCATTAGCAAATGAGAGTGATGAGACACCAGATGTTGGTGTTGCTGATCTTTCTGACAATATTGAGGATGCACCTAGAAGTGTAAATTTTATCAATAAAATAATCAACATTTAAGTTATAATAATTAATAACCATCTTTTTCGTTAAAATCCTCATTTTTAGAAAAATCCATTTCTTCGTCTTCATCTACATTCGTTTTTGGTGTCTCTGCAACTGAAGGGTCGCTACTGTCCTTAGTGCCGCCAATGCTTTCTTTACTTATTTTACTTGCTTATGCTAAACCATTATGTTTTCTGATAATATGATTTGCTAAATTAGTAGTATTACCAGAAGTTTTTATTTCCTTCCCACATAATTTACACTTTCCTCCACCACTAATTTTTATAAAACAATTCCACACGTTACTTGTAGATTTTCAAGGCATGGTAATACCATTATGGTATTATTAATAGAGTTATTGTTTATTACTACCATCACCAACATGCAAACAATCAAATTATTAAAATATTAAATAGCTCAACCAAAATCTAAAATAACTTACCTTTACAATAAAGCACGCGGCACGCTTTCCAATTTTATTATTTATACCAATTTTATTCTTATTCCAGAGCTTATTCTTAATTTTTATCTGTGTAATAAGTGTGATATATAACCTAGAAATACACATAATGTGCCGTCAAATGCCAATATGTCAAATATTCTCTAAACGAACTAACCAAACTTCAGAACACACCAGAGTACGCTATTCACGGAGCGGACTATTTCTGTCTTTCTTAAGTTAACGTGATTAAAGAGAAACAGAAATACAAAACCCTGGGCAAGTTATGTTGCGGCTCGCGAAAAATGGCCTTTTTGCCGTTTCGCTTTTTTTAACAATCACGATATCTAGCATCGTCGCCATCTGTACTGAAATATTATTGACCTGATACCTGATATCCGTTACCCAATAAATAAAATATAAATAAATATTTTACCTGTGCGTTGTTCGACCGATTATTTTTCCGATTATTGATGAAAAAGAATCGATTCATCAAAAGTTTAAAAACCTAAAAATCGATTAAAAAACATCGATCATTTTTCAAAATAATCAATTATTGAAAAAATCGATTAAAAATCGGCATCTCTAGATAGAGCTCGTCGAAACAATGCAGGAAATGTCGCACAGCTTATTGCTGCAGCATTAGCAGAATGGGAAAACATACCCCAAGACAATGTTGAAAATTTAATAAGAAGCATGTCAAGGCGAACAGAAGCTTACATAAGGGCTAGAGGTGGCACAAGTATTGCTAAAATTACCAATTTTCTTTTTGCTTTTTGGCTATTAAAAATTTAAATCTCATTTCATTTCAGAAACCAAAAAATATACCATCGTGGTTATTTTGTTAACTAATTAATTTTTTTACTGCTATGTGGGTTATTTGTCTTTGATAAGGACCGAGCTTTATTCATAAACAAAAAATGTTCATAAAACTCAAAAATTATGAAAAATTATAAATGATTCCGTATAAGTTTGGTTGTGTTTATATGTATAATATGGTATATCTTTCTTGAGTTTCGTCAATACATTTTTTATTCTTGAATACCCTCTACATTTTAGTTTTAGTCTTCAGCATGACCTTGTTAACCTATTGGGGACGTTAACCTCTTTTTCCTAGTCTAAGCTTCAACTGGATACGAACGGGGCTGGGTGGCTCAGTGGTTAGAGTCGGAACTTGCGAATTCAAGGGTCTGCGGTTTGAATGTCACCGTGCACCGGGATTTATTCTAATTAATTAAAAATTAATTTTCCATTGGAACATTCACAGTTGGGCTCAAATTAGCAGTGCTGTTTTTAAAGCAGCGATGGGAAAGAGTAGAAAACCTACAAAGAACACACAAGAAAAATAAATCAAATTTAACTGAGACTGAATAATTAGGTAGATAATAATATAGTCATAAAATAAAGAGGACACGGATGTCCTCTATGATTTTCGGGTGATCAAACCAATGCTGTAACTATGAAGACTAGTCTTTATAACTGTAATTGTCGTTTGTTGTTAGAGGATCGTAAGAAAATATATTTTTCTTGGCTCCAGTTCAGAAAAATAATGATGTGACGCCCTCTGCCTTTAGTTGAAAAATTGACAGTATCAATACAGAAATGGAAAAAGAATTGATGGTCAAAACAAAATTAGTAACTATCTCTGTGTATGTTTAGCTGTTCTCAATTCATAATAATAAAACTAGAGTGACTTTATAAAAACAATTACGAAATGTAGAAAATGAAAAATCTAAATACTCCGTCGAAAGACGAACAATTTCCTGAAACGCATTTTTAAATTAAACGAACTGTAATTGCGACCATTTTTTTGGAACATTTTTTTAAGTAGAAGCAATTAACAACGTTGTGAAATAGTTGCTTCCGTGCCAAATACCTGGTAATTACTCGTAATTATTATACAGTGGTGCTGAGATGACGAATGTTAAAATTTTATGAAACAAATTTAGCCAAAAGCTTGCCCCTTTTTATACAGGTTTTTTGAAAACAACATAATGTATATATTAAAACTAGTTAATATTCCTCGAAGGCCCAAAAATGTCATTTTAATTAGGATTTAAAAATCGACTTTAAAATGGCCTACGCCACTGCCTTGTTGCGGTAGGTTATTTAGAAATTATTTAATTTAAATAGGTGCACAATTTAGTTCAATGCGAACAGCTGACAAGTGGGTCTGTTATTGATCCTGTTGAATTTAAACAGTTATTGTAGTGTCAAAGTTTTTATTTTATATTTTTGTGATTAATGTTTTATTTTTTCATGACTATTACTGAGGCCCTTCCTATGGGGCCTCAGTATTGCATTCGTGCAGACGAAAAAATTTTCTAAGGTGACTTGCGACCTTCATAATTGCAAACATATCCCATTTTGGAAGCTATTTTTATTCGCCAAGCCTGCCAATTTATGAAAAATATATAAGCAGTTTCTTAAAAATTACTTTTTTATGGTGGGTGCTAACTTAAACTTACTACTATTTTACCCCTAGCCACAAAAACACATTCATTAAATTTACTGGCTCTCTGTTGCAACCCGATTGAATAATTAACTGGCCATTTTATTTGGACAAAATCAAAATAATGCTTGGCTGTGCCTGTCAAGTATCAAGATGTCCACTGTGATGTGTGAATGGCTCTTAAATGTCAAATAATTTAAAAATGTTTGTATGCTTCTTTTGATATTTATTGCAAATAATTTGTAGTGTATCTCAATTCAGGCTTTCCGTAAATAAAGGTACAGCAAGACAGATAATATAATGTTCTTATACAAAGCACTTTTTTATTATACTCTCTTACATAATGTTTTTCATATTTATTTTTTTTTAGGACTATTTTTATTTTCTTATATTTCTCTTCTATGCTGGTCGAATAACCAATGGGTAGATAGGTATTAAGTCATAATTTAACCGTTCTGTAAGGACACATTTAAAACTACGTATTTTATTTCTAATAAACAAACCCATATTTTTCTAAGAATTCTCTTATATCTTTACAGAATTCCTTGTTACTTTCCTAAAAGAAAAAGAGCAGCAGTTTCTTATCTCTTTTACGATGAACTGAAATAGAAAAGGCAAGTAATTCGGAAGACTTCTTTGAGAGGCTCGGGTCTCTAATGAGGTTATTTATTTCTTGTTGGATCTCAAAAACCAGAGCTGAAAATAATTGTTTATTATTCTTATAACTTCATGTTTGGCTCGTTATTATTAAATGCTATTTTTCTAGTATAATTTATAAATTCCATAAACATATATTACGTATCTAAAGTTATGCAAAAAAATTCAGGAAAAGGCTCCCCGTTGAAAATGATGAAGGAAAGCTTTTATCACAAAATTTTCTCATTCCAATTCTTTAAAAAATTTGAAAGATGAAAAAATTGATGGTTCCCAACTTATCGAGACTGAGGTCGCTCAGGAAAACTCATATAAAAGTATCAAGAAAGGATTTGATTTCGAACGAACGAACGAACGAACGAACGAACGAAGCGAACGAACGAACGAACGAACGAACGAACGAACGAACGAACGAACGAACGAACGAACGAACGAACGAACGAACGAACGAACGAACGAACGAACGAACGAACGAACGAACGAACGAACGAACGAACGAACGAACGAACGAACGAACGAACGAACGAACGAACGAACGAACGAACGAACGAACGAACGAACGAACGAACGAACGAACGAACGAACGAACGAACGAACGAACGAACGAAGACGAACGAACGAACGAACGAACGAACGAACGAACGAAACGAACGAACGAACGAACGAACGAACGAACGAACGAACGAACGAACGAACGAACGAACGAACGAACGAACGAACGAACGAACGAACGAACGAACGAACGAACGAACGAACGAAGACGAACGAACGAACGAACGAACGAACGAACGAACGAACGAACGAACGAACGAACGAACGAACGAACGAACGAACGAACGAACGAACGAACGAACGAACGAACGAACGAACGAACGAACGAAACGAACGAACGAACGAACGAACGAACGAAAGAAAGAAAGAAAGAAAAGAGAAGAAAGAAAGAAAGAAAGAAAGAAAGAAAGAAAGAAAGAAAGAAAGAAAGAAAGAAGAAGAAAGAAAGAAAGAAAGAAAGAAAGAAAGAAAGAAAGAAAGAAAGAAAGAAAGAAAGAAAGAAAGAAAGAAAGAAAGAAAGAAAGAAAGAAAGAGAAGAAAGAAAGAAAGAAAGGAAAGAAAGAAAGAAAGAAAGAAAGAAAGAAAGAAAGAAAGAAAGAAAGAAGAAGAAAGAAAGAAAGAAAGAAAGAGAAAGAAAGAAAGAAAGAAAGAAAGAAAGAGAAAGAAAGAAAGAAAGAAGAAAGAAAGAAGAAAGAAAGAAAGAAAGAAAGAAAGAAAGAAAGAAAGAAAGAAAGAAAGAAAGAAAGAAAGAAAGAAAGAAAGAAAGAAAGAAAGAAAGAAAGAAAGAAAGAAAGAAAGAAAGAAGAAGAGAAGAAGAAAGAAAGAAAGAAGAAAGAAAGAAAGAAAAGAAAGAAAGAAAGAAAGAAGAAGAAAGAAAGAAAGAAGAAGAAAGAAAGAAAGAAAGAAAGAAAGAAAGAAAGAAAGAAAGAAAGAAAGAGAAGAAAGAAAGAAAGAAAGAAAGAAAAAAATTACGAATGGCTCTTGGGGATAACACATGGAAAATTCGATTTTCATTATCAGACAAATTTTCCGATCCCACATTCGGGTCATTCAAAAAAATATGTTTCTCGGACTACTGACGACGTACGTTTTCATACATTCGATGGGCATATGTGGAAAAATCTGGCAAAATCTAGATTTTTCATTAGGAGAATGCG